GCTCTACAACCAATCAGAAAACAGGATTTCGATGAATTTTGCTCGTATTATCGGAATCCTGTTTTCTAATTGGATCAGAGTGTCGTACGACGAAAATCGGATGCAGTGTGAATCCAGCAATAGTGTTTCTATCCCCCCATTACCGCTGGAGGCTCGGCGGCCAAGTTGCCGATCGCGCACGCGCGACGTTGTAGCTCAGGAGCGTGTCCCTATATCAGATATACTAGGAGCGCACCTTCTGCCAAATCATTATTAAAATACTTATTATATTAGAAATTAATTATTTAATAAAAAACATGGTAATTAATTAGAATACGGGTCTCATCTCCGATTTTGATGAAATTGGACTCACTCGACGCGTTTTTACTCAAAATGAAAGAATCTTGCAAAAAAAATGCGGCGGTCGGCCTCATGAACCGACATATCAAGAGTTAAAGTTCGAGATTTTAGAGATTAAGATATCTGTCATCCCGACTCGATATAGCGATATATATACGTTCTGTTTTAATTACACAAATTTACTGCTTTAAAAACAAATTCTCTGCTTCACAAATACAAATTCACTGCTTTAAAAACACAAATTCACTGCTTTAAGCACACAAATTCTTTACATTAACAGTGAATTTGTGTTTTTAAAGCAGTGAATTAATATTTTTAAAGCAGTGAATTTATGTTTTTAAAGCAGTGAATTTGTGTAATTAAAGCAGAACGTATACATAGTGTTATATCGAGGCTGTATTCGTTTTGATACCCACGACGCTTTAAGCGTCGTTTTATCCTTGTTATTTTTAAGTATTAAACAAGGACAATGATGCTTACAAGCGCCAAAACGAACGTAGCCCGAGTCGGGATGACAGATATCTTAACCTTTAAAATCTCGAACTTTAACGCTTGATATCTTGGTTCATGAGACTGATATTTTTATCAGATTCTTTCATTTTGAGTAAAAACGCATCAAATGAGCCCAATTTCATCAACATCGGAGATGAGGTCCGATTCTAAATAATTACCCATAAAGGTACTGCCTAAAAACACAAAAAGTCACTGCTTTAAAAACACAAAGGTACTGTCTAAAAACACAAAAAGTCACTGATTTAAAAACACAAAAATGACTTTTTGTATTTTTAGACAGTACTTTTATGTTTTTAAAGAAGTGACTCTTTGTGTTTTTAGACAGTACTTTTGTGTTTTTAAAGCAGTGACTGTTTGTGTTTTGAAGCAGTACTTTTATGTCTTTGAAACAGTAAATTTGTATAATTAGGGTATAGAATATTTTATCTGCCGACAAAACTTGCATACACGCGTGATCACAGCGTGTCACAGCGCATGCGCATAAAAGTAGAGTATGTACAGTTCGCGCAATTAATGCCTTCCACCCTTGTTTTGACATTGCACGTTACCTTCTCGGTTATTTTCACATCTATGATCGTAGTCAGACGGAATTCTCGACAATACGCGACTTTCTTCAATTTCTATTAGTTAAGGAGCTTACAGACCAGAGCGGCGCAGCGGTGAGCGACGAGCGGTAGCCCAATGAGAGCCACGCTTTTGCGTGACATCATTAGTGAAGCATGGCTTTTATTGGGCTACCGCTCCCCGCT